TGGACTTCAACTCCCAGAATTCCCCAGCCAGCCAGGGGAATTCTGGGAGTTGAAGTCCACATATCTTAAAGTCACCAAGGTTGAAGAACATTGCAGTAGAGGAAATGGGCTTCTAATAGAGAGAATATCTGGAGCTCAGGGTTGAACTCTGGAGTCCTTGGTGCTCTCTGAGCTTGGTTGCTTGCAGACATTTCGTTACCTGACTAGGTAACATCAGTGCTAGCGAGTGTGGGGTTTGCTCCGTTTATATACAGTAGCTTGCCCTGCAGCAAACGGATGCTCAATGGGTTCATTCCCACCTCCAGTCGTAACTTTCCTATTTAACATCTTCCCAGGGCGGTTGTTCAAGTCAGAGCTTGAGCACGTGTTCAAAGCAGCCCAAGTGTGCGCGCGCATAGCCAATGATTAGGCAGTCAGGCTGAACCACCTTGCAGGCTGTTACAAGTACTCCATAGGTTCACAATTAAACCTAAATCATAATCTAACCGGAGTGGAGGAAGAGCGACACACATCGGGAAAAACAAAGAAAAGGGACGCTAATGGAGAAGTCCGCCCGGCTCCACCTCCTTGACTCGTTTCCTTCCCCTGCCCCAATAACAAATGGTCTCGCCTCCTCCTCTAACCTTCGCAAACCGACCGCTCTCCAGCGGCTCCGCCCAATCGTTCGCGCCCGCCGGTTCCCCCACCGCGAACGGAATGGTCTTGCCCAGTTTCTGCCGAGGGCGGTGAATGGTTTCCCTCGCAGAGGGGGCGTGGCCCCGAGGTGACAGCATCAGGCAGCGCCCTGGGAGAGACCGGCACTGGACGTGGGAAGCGCGTGCCCGGCGGTCCGTAGCGCCAGGTGAGGCGGAGGCGCGCTCCGGCGACTCGTTGAGGGGATGCAGGAAGAGCGAGGGGGGCGTGGTGGTCCTCCCGCCCTTGTCAAGCCCTTCCATCCCGCACAGCCCCGTTTTGCTGACGATCGGACATTGCTGCCTCCTGGTTGCCTTTGGTTCCAGCTAGCTCGCCTTGGGCAGGTCGCCTCAGCCCGTAGTAGAGGGGCAGCGGGGGACCGTGTCCTGAGCCGCCGCCTCTTCAGTCGGAGTGGGGTCCTTGGAACTGGATCCTTCAGGGGTGGGGAAGTGGTTCCTCCAATGCAGGTTTGGAGGGTGGGTGGATGAGGATAGCCCTTGTCACCTTGGTAACAGGCATGGGGAAGTTTTGAAATGTGGCGTCACCGCACCCGTTTCTAGAGGGGAGAGGTTCATCCTTTGTCATGTCTTCTGCTAATAAAATCTGGTGATCAGAAGGGTCAAAGGAGGTGCTTGTGGGCATAGGGGGTGTGTCTCTAAATAGGCTGTGTGTCCCCACCTCAGATTCTGCTTCTGACAGTGCTCCTAGGTCGGTTTACTTCGAAGTAAATCCTACTAAGATCAACCGGCTTGACACTCAGGTAAGCCTGTAGAATTGCAACCTGGCTTTATTGATGATTTTAGAAAGACCCTGTCAAAAAGAAGCAGATGGCTCCATTGCACAATAGCAATGCTATTAGTGAGGAAAATGTTTTCCGTAGAAAGAAAAAGTGTAGAGCAGATGCCAATAGAAGAAAGACCATGGTTTGGTAGTGGTCATAGTCAGATGTTTGGGTGGAAATATGACAATTTCTATCCTTGCTATTTTAAGCACAGTTGAGCCTCTTTCCTGCTGATGACACATTTGTGTGGAAGATGGAAATGTAGCTCTAATTTTGTTTACTTTGAGATTTATAAAACCTTTCATTTTTGAAATCCTATTTGTTTCTACAAGTGTAGATTTGGGAAACAGTTTGCATTTTAACTAATAAGCTTATGCTTGTCAGAGGGGCTTGTGTATTGCCCGGTTCACCGATCATAATTTTGTTAATTACAATGTATTGAATAAACCAGTAAGCCATAGAAAATGGTTTACAAACAACAGTGGCTGAATTTATACAATATGCTAAGCCTGAACTGAGTGGACTGTGTTATGGCTTAGCACAAAGGGTGAATCCACCCATTATTAATTTATTACATTTATATCCCACTGCAATCAAACAAAACTATTGACAGTTTATAAGACATATATAGAAATTACCTGAAATATCTCCAATGAATCCAAATACAAATATCTAAAATCAATTAAAACAACAAAAACAGATATGATAGGCAAAATATACACTGCCATGTTAAACCACACATCAGTGGCTAAGTCTAAGTTGTGAATACTCTGCAAAAGAGCCCAGGTGCGTGTGTGTGTTGTTTACATTTTTTAAAATGATGTTAGGGAAGGGGCCAGTCTAATTTCCATTGCAAGGCTGTTCCTGAGAGCCAGCCTTGCTATTGAGCCAGCACTGTCTAGCTTCAGCAGCCCTTTTCCCCTGGAAGTGGGGAACTACTTCTCCCAAGATGACATTATTGGTCAGGACATTTCCAGCTGGAATAGGCCATCCTGGAGATAACTAGATACCAACTGATAAGGGCTTTAGAGGGTAAGAACAGCACTTTAAATTGCACTCACCACCCTGTCAGAAGCCTGTGCAGGGGCCAAAGTACAAATGTAATAATGCTCCCAACAACAGCTGCCAATTAGCCCATAGACCACTGCACTCTGGACTATATGAAGCTTTTGAGTGATCCTTAATGGTTGCCGTATCCAGAGCATAGTTCAGTAGGGTGTCTAGTAATGAGAGTGTGAGTTAATGTGCTTCAGACCGCAAGATTTTTTTCTCCCAGTGGCTTTGTGTAGATGTAAAAAAGGAGAGGATTCCTGCACTGAGCAGGGAGTTGGCCAAGATGTTCTTCAAGATCACTTCCAACCCCTTCGTTCTGTGATTCCATGACTTCTTGTTTAATCTGTTAACTTGTGTCTGACATTTTCAACATCTGTTTTTACCCTCTGTATGGTATCTGTCTAATGACTCCTCTAATATTCTTTCCTTTGTTACTTCAGCTCAGCTCCTGAGCTGAGCAAACACATCCACCAGTATGGAACTGGTTTGCCATTTCGTTCTGGGATTTCCCCCCCCCTTCTCAGTTTAGGCCTGGTATTTCCTGGTGGTCTCTTGTATTAGCTAGGTCAGACCCTCCTTAGTGCTTTGAGGTCAGCCAAAATTCATGGGGTGCTGCCAACTGTCAGACTAATTCTTTGGCAAATGAAATTTTCTTGTGGGTTCCATAATGATAGTAACCTTGAGAAGTGGAAGCTCTTTCATGTGGCTGGGGAGAAGTCACTCAGTGACAGCTAAGATTTTCCCCACACGGAAAACTGTTTTCTTGGCGATAGCTTATTTCCTAGAACCAGGTATTTAGATAACACGGTGATTTTAGAATTGAATGCTCTAGTACAGTGTTTCTCAACCTTGGCAGTTTGAAGATGTGTGGACTTCAATTCCCAGAATTCCCCAGCCAGCATGGGGAATTC